TGTGTGTGTGTGTTTTGCTGAAAACACAATGCAGGGCCTTGCACATGCTACACAAGTGTTCTACCACTGAGTAGCACTCCAGCTCCCCTGGTGATTCTGAAGTCATAATGCTGCAAAGTATGAGCGAAGAGCATGAGTTGCAGAAATTAAGCCAAGGACCAAGAGTGGGAGAAATACTGTCAGGGGACCCTTTGGGGTTTAGGCTTTGAGACTACTGAAAAAGTTTACAAAACATCTGGCCTCCACTCTTTCGGAGATCCTCCTAGAGACGCTCCCATGTCTTAGTTACACAAAGCAGCATGGAGATGTGGTTGGCAGATCCCAGAGACCTGCTCAAGAGTGCTCTTGGACAGAGTCAGAAGCAACAAGGCAGGATTCACGGTAGGGGCCTGAGGGATGAGTGGAGGGGAAAGTTGAAGCATGACCTTGCCCTGGCCCAGCTCATTCCCTGTCAGGAGAGGATTTGAGAAGATCTAGCTAATAATAAATATTGTTTTCCTGGGGTTGGGGGAGGCCCCCTCTATGTGGTGGTGGTGGTGGGGAGGAAGCTGAGTCTGGGGACCCACCTCCATCAGTCAGAGATGTGGCATTCCACAGAGGCTCAGCAGGTAGCCCAAGGTCAGTGGTAAATAAATAGCCCACAACAAGGAGGTGTCATTTAGGCCTTCCTGATGATATGAAGCATCCCTCTCTACTCTCAGACATACCTCCAGCCTTCTATTGCAGCAGGGAACTGATAGCTGGAGAGTGTGTCTGGGGCTCTAGCAACTTCTTACACAGACTTTCACCCAGGCTTTAAAAAAAAAAAAGCTCCCACATGCCAGAAAGAACTTGTATCCTAATCCTCTTCTTTGATGGGGGTTCTACAATGTAATTCACCATTGCTACTGGCATCCAGACCTGGATGCTGAGATGTCAGTATCAGTCACTATTAATAAAAGGGAGGATCTGGTTTTATATAAATTGACTCCTTCATCTGTAGGTAGAGATGTTTCACTATATGGGATATTACCTTGGGAGCTGTTGTAGCAGGGTTATTTTCCAACTGAATATATCTAAGGATAGAAAAATGTGTCAGTAGGGGTCCATCAATAGGGAATATATGGATAGCTGGGTTTTTATGAATGGGAAGATTTTTTTTTAAATCACAGTATCAATGAGATAAATATCAATGTTGGGTATTTATGAATGGAAATATTTTTACAAGGGGGCTTATCAGTGGGGGCATTTTTGGTGGGCAAATATGAATGGAGAGTTTGATCATTCTTAGCAGACAACAGGAGATGTGTGAGTGGGTCAAAATTTGTGAATGGGAAGATTTGCCAATAGAGGTTGTCCTGGGAATGATGTCATAGAAAGATATTCATAAATACAGAGATTTGTCAGCTAGGGGGATGCCGCTGCTGGGGAGGTAGTTATGAAGAGACATACTTGTGGCTGGGCTGCATCAGTAGACGACAGATTGCTGCTGGGTATTTGTTTGTTTATTTACTTATTTATTTTTGGTTTTTTGAGACTGGGTCTCACTACGTAGTTGTCTTGAGCTGGTCTCGAACTCACAGTGATCCTCCTGCCTCTGCCTCCTGAGTGGTGGGATTACAGGCGTGCGCCACCATGTCCGGCGCTGCTGGGTATTTGTGAATGGGAAGATCTGTCAGTGGGGTTATCAGTGGGGAGATGGCACTAGAATATTTATGAACAAGATGTTTCTTCGTGGGATATTTGTGAAAAAGGATTTGTCTCAGTGAAGAGATGGGACTAATCAAAGGAAGGATTTACCAAGGGCTTAGGGATTTGTCATCTGTAGTCTTGGAAACATTAGAGGTTTATAAAAGTAGTGATTTGTCCACAATGAGGACTGCATATGGGGAATGTTATGTGATAGGGGTAGTTTTTCTTGGAAGTCTAAAATTTGGTTATTTGTTGGTGCAGGGATTTGCACACTAGAAAGCAGTGAATGCGCATCATAATAAGAAGAATATTACAAATGAGCATATTCAATATTTTTAACATCTTTGGAATGATTATCATGATCCTGAGTTTTATATGAGGGCTTCTGGAGTGCACGAAATCACTGCTACTAATTTACATTATTTCTAACATTTTATTTTATTTCTAATATCAAATATTATTTGCAGCTGGGCATGGTGGCAGGTGCCTATAATCCCAGCACTCAGGAGGCTGAGGCAGGAGGATCACTGTGAGTTCAAGGCCAGCCTGGGCTACATAGTGAGTTCAAGGCTAATTTACACTACATAGTGTCACAAAAAAAAGAATTATTTGCAACATTGCACTACTCATTACTGATAAAAATTGTCACTGCTACAGTTACACATTTAATTATATTTACTGTAACTACTACTTATAAGTGCTACATACCTAGCATTGTTCTCAGCACTTTAAAGATACTACTTCATTCAATACACACATTGTCCTTATGAGTTAGGAATGTTTTAGTCCCATTTTACAAATGTGGGAACTGAGGCACAGAAGGGCAATATGATTTTCCCTAAGGACACAGACCTAGGACATGTCAGGGGCAGGTTTTGCATGCAGGTGACCTGGACACAGGGTTCATGTTCTTAACCAGTACACTACACTTCCTGTCTAGAAATTAAGTCACTTTTAGTAATACTGCAACTTTAGTTGTTGTTTTGAGAGAGTATCATGGTTTTTATTGTTTGCAATACTGGGGATGGAACCCAGGGCCTCACACATGCTAGGCAAGTGCTTTACCTCTGAGCCATATCCTCAGCCCGAGTTTCCTATGTGTTTTGACCTGCAACTATCTAAGGGGTAAAAACACCAAATAATCATCCCCTAACCCTAAGACAGACTAGGTCTGAAGGACTTTGGGTAGACACTGTGGTGCCCACATATTAGGGAGAAGACTGTGACTCGGGAGAGGGAAGGGCAGGTGCCCAGGTTACCCACTGAGCTGGATTCCATGCTGCACATCTCATGTAGCTGCAACCACATGAGCTTCCTCTCAGCCATCACGAAAGCTCTCCTAATGAGACGGACACACAGACACATGGAATGCTGTGGAGTGTTTATTTTCATGGATTTCCTAGAAAGTGATGGTGGTTCATCCTGGAACTACAGATCTTGCCAGGAGCTCATGCCAGGTCTGAGGAAAAGGTAGGTTTGAGTCCTGTTCTGGTCTGTCTGTGTCCTGGTCCCACCTGCTTATGCTCACTGGGTGTGAGTGTGGAAGGTGGAGAGTTCAGGATGGACAGGTGGGCAGAATCGCCTCCATGCTGGGTTCTGCCTTTCTCCTGGCACCTTCTACTTCACCTTCCTTCCGGGGGTAGTGTGGCTAGGACTCAGAAAATGGGCGTCGAAGTCAAGGAGCCACTGAAGAGTGCAAGGAGCTGATGTGAGGGCTTGGTGAATTGTCAGGAACTTCTGAAGTCATGCAGCCTGCAGTGGGACCAAAAGATACCCATGCCCTTCCCTTACAGTTGTACCCATCAGCAAAGCCTGCCATTTCCCCCTTTTGATAGACAGGGTTTCGACCTCCCAGGCAAAACCAAGGTGTAAGTGTTGCTGTAGACACTGGTGCTTTACCTTTGAGCCACCTGGGTGTTCCCTGTTCAGGGGAATACATACTGTCTGCTTAAATACTGCCCGACCTGATATGTGGCATAACTTGGGCTTGAGGGAACCTCCCAGGAGTGTAGAATGCTCTGAGGTAGGCCCACAGAGCACCCAGGGAGCCACGCTTGGTGCTGTGGTGTCCAGGAAGCCATGCTAGAATGCTCCAGAGGAGTCCTGAGTTCCTTTTGGCAGTGGATAGTCTGATGGGAGGGATCCTTCATCAAAGTCGACCTAACTAGATCTTTTCTCAAGCAGATTCAGGTCAATAGAGCGCTTGGGTATTCCATTGAGTGTTTCTCCCAATGTTAAATCCTGCTTCCCAGTGATTTCACTTGGGATAGAACCATTGGAGAACCATAGCAGGATCAGGGACTGGGAAGGGCTAGAGAGGCCTAGGCCTGTCAAGGGAGCAGGAAGTCCCAGGAAGTGGGTGTTTGGAGGTTCTCTTGCTTAGGTTTTATGGAGGAAGATGATTCAGAAAGGTGAGGCTCAGGTAGAGTTTAGGTAAAGGGAGGCGTGTGGAGGTGCAGGCTAGTGTGTACCTGGGTGGTTCTAATTTTGGGCCTCACCTGCATTTCATTGTGGTCAGTCTCTCCTTCAGAGTTGGTCAGTGAGAAGAGAGAAAGGGAGAGTAAGGCAGAGCCTTGGGATTTCAGGATAGTCCCTTCTTCCCATTCTACCTCCTGCTGTGCCTCAAACAGCTCCTCTTAAGGGATCTCCCACAGGCTATGGTGTGGTGCAAAAACTATCCTAGCCCTTCTTCCAGAATCTAGCCAGGAGTTACAGTGGGGGCTCTGCATCCCCTCCTGTCACTCAAATTAGACATACTACTGTACAGAACCTAAGGGTGGGGACAGTGACACAGGTTTGGATGGGGCATCTTCACTGGACATCAGGACAAGGACTGGGGCAAATAAATCAGTTTGCTACTTTGATACATGTCAACGAGTTTGTCACCTGAGATTTGTGAATAGGGGGATTTACAGCTGTGGGGTAATTAACTGGAGAGTCCTGGTGAAATGGGAATTAGAAACTACTGTAATAAAATATTTTAAAGTACTGAGTAAAGTATTTATAATCTGGAGTTGATCACACAAACACAAGTTAAATAACCATGACTGACATTGCAGATGGCCAGCCATAATGCCTATGATCAGATTATTACTAGTAGACCAAATTTTTGTATAAAATATAAAAATTCAACATCTTTTTTCCCACCTTGTTGGGGATGGAACCCAGGGTTTTGTATGTGCTAGGCAAGCACTTGACCACTGAGCTACAGCCCTAGTTCCCAAATCCAACATCTTGCATCCCCCTCACCCCTCCAGTTAGTCCCAGAGTGCTCCTACTAGGTCGTCAGTGACATGGTTTGTTCACAGGCACTACACAGAGACAGCATCTGCTGAAAGACAGTTCTTTATTTCACCATCTTGGAAAAAAGGGGAGAGTGGGAAGGGGAGAAAGCTTCAGTTTCCATGAGGAGCAGGCTTTATTCAGTCTGTCTTGGTCCGCAGGGATTGCCAGGTGCACAACCCTGATTCCCGTGGCAGGCAGGCAAGGTGACGGCTCTGGAAGCCCTTCTCAGTACCACTCAGGAGCATGTCTGTCCACAAGCATTGAGTGTTACTCTCCAATTTGCAGGGGATGGATGAACAAGCAAACACCTGGAGGGGAGGGAAAGACCCCTTCTCTGAGGATTTCTTCTTTCTCCCCCTCTCCTACAGAGTAGAATTTTCTCCTCAGCTTGTAGTATGGAGCTGCTGGGGAGAAGTGGTGTCATCCCACCTGGGTTTGGACCCAAGAACAGCCCATTGGAAGAACAGTAAGATAGCAAAAAACAATCAATGTCTTGGAATGGTAGATGGGGAACAGTTGTTGGGGTCAGTCAGGTATCCTGAGGAATTGTCCCTTTGGGCAGGGAATAGCCAGTGGGGCTCTGAGACAGTCACTGGGGACATTTGGAGCCATCAAGGAACAGTCAGTGAGTTTGGGGAAAAGCACTTTGGTTTCTTGAAGAGCTTTCTTTTTTTTTTTTTTTTTTTTTTTTTTGGTACTGGGGATTGAACTTGGTACCTTGCGCTTGCAAGGCAGGCAGTGGAACCACTAAGCTAAATCTCTGGCCCTCTTGAAGAACTTTCTAAGGAAGCAAAAATTAATCCCAGGGAGCCAGGTGTGGTGGTGCACGCCTATAATCTCAGCACTCAGGAGGCCAAGGCAGGAGGATCGCCTGCCCTGCACATTCCAGGCCAGCCTGGGCTACATAGTGAGTTCAAGGCCAATCTGAACTACAAAACAAGACCCAGTTTCACTAAATCTCTGGCCCTCTTGAAGAACTTTCTAAGGAAGCAAAAATTAATCCCAGGGAGCCAGGTGTGGTGGTGCACGCCTATAATCTCAGCACTCAGGAGGCCAAGGCAGGAGGATCGCCTGCCCTGCACATTCCAGGCCAGCCTGGGCTACATAGTGAGTTCAAGGCCAATCTGAACTACAAAACAAGACCCAGTTTCACAAATTAGAGGGACAGGTTAGAAGGTTCAGGGAACATTCAATCCCAAATTGTCAGACACAGGACAAATGGACAACCAGGATTTCTTAGGGTGCAGTCTCAAGTTTGGGGGAATAGCAAGAAGGATCACGGACACCCCTGGGGATTGTGAAGCAGTCCAAAGAACCGTCACAGGGAGTAAGAAACAAGTCCACAGTTTCGGGAAGAGTCCCGAAAACAACCTCCAGGCAGAGGACAGGGCCCAGGCACTCACTGTGCACGACCCACAGCCAGCAGAGTAGGTCTTGGTGAAGCCTTTTTGTTGAGAGGAGGTCAGACTGTGCCAGGGAACCAGGAAACTGCAGGTGGATACATGCAAGTTCCCGTCTTGCAGTTGTCCTGGGAGGAGGAGAAAAAACCCAAAGACAGCTTTTGATTGGCTGGGCCGGGGCCTGGGCAGCACCTGATTGGCGCCATGGACATACAGACCCCCCCCCCGCAAGGTCCCAGGCTTCTGATAGGCTGAAATTGGGACGGTCACAATTTAAACTGGGATGGCTCTCTACTGAGCTTCTCCCCCGGTTGCTAGGCACCGTCTAAGGTCAGATTGGCTTGGCCCAGTGCGAGAAGGCGGGGCCTTACCAGCGATGAGAAACTCTTCGCTGCGGTTCTGGGACCGGTGGTAGTACCCGCAGAGGCTCTCCATGGCGGGGGTGTAGAGGAACCGGATGTCGTTGGCATGTCCCAAGGGATCGAACCCTTTGAACATCTGTTGATGGATGAGAACACTCTTTTACCGACAGACTCTTCCCACTCAAAGCTCTTTCCTTAAATCGTATACCCAAATCCTGACATCACACTTTCCACACCACCCATGTCCAGAAATTTCTATTTTGAGAAGTAGGAAGGGAAGGACAGGGAGGGGAGATACCTTGGTCACTTTGATCTCATAACGCTTGTTAAAGGTGGTCATGTTGACTTCTGTGATCCCCGTGAACTTGGCCCTTATAACTACAGAGGAAGGAAAAAAATGCATTAATTGAGGGGTGTGAGCAAATAATCATGATAAAAACGTACCTAGCAAATAGGAATTACTGAGTGCCCTACAGCACACTAAGCAATTCATACATCTGCTAGTTGGTTCATCCATATAGTGTCTATTCTTTGCCAGCACTGCTTTAACCTTTTTTATTTTTTTTTTTAATTTTTAAAAATTATTTTTATTTTTATTTAATTTTTTGGTTTTTTGAGACAGGGTCTCACTATGTAGTTGAGACTGACCTGGAACTCACTATGTAGCCCAGGCTGGTCTCAAACTCAGTGATCCTCCTGCCTCAGCCTCGAGAGTGCTGGGATTACAGG